TCCAGCATAATATGCTGGAGTTCGTACACAAATGCACCAGAACTCCCGTATATTATACTGGACCGGTCCCTGTTGCAGCAAAATAGTGGCAATTTTTCATTGACTTGATAAACGCTGACTATTTTTCATTGACCAGTGTGAAAACTGGCTATACCATGATATTTTAACCTAAATCCTAACAGTTCGACAGATTACCTGAATAGGCCCATTGGACATTTGGGGCCTGATAAGAGAAGAGATTTTTACATGGTTGCTCCTTCTTTCAAAAGGAAATTTTACCGCCTACAGCAAAGGTTAACATCTTATTTATTTTAAATAAATACCATTTAAAAAATTATATTCTATAGATACCTTTTAATGTTTATAGCAAAATATCTAATTTTGGTTACCTCCTACCCCTAAGCCACTAAATACGCTATTCAGTTACACTATTTTCTTTCTCTCTTTACTTTGATACATGCCATTCTCTTCCCCATTCCCTGAAAACACGATGCTCAATCTCAAAATTTCTCTCACCCACATCACCTACGTTATCTCCGATCCCAATTTCTCTAATTCCATCGGACGTTGCTTTCTCTTAATTTTTTTAATCTATACCCGATTTGAGCAAACTTCAGACACTACTTCCACTTCCTTCTTCTTCTCTTTTTCTTATTTTCTTTCTTCTCCCTTCTTCTTTGTTGCTATTTGAAAGCTATAGGTATGCTAATATTGGAGAAAGAAGAAACTAAGTGTTTGGATTCTGATAATGTGAATTGTGGGATTTGTTTTGAGGAATATACTATTTTTTTCCGATCGGCGCGCACAACACATGGGTTTTTGCTCGACGGCGGATTCGCCGGAATTAGGGTTTGTTCTTGAACAAAGACGACGGAGTTTGGGGCTGAGCAACTTGATTTTCTGTTAATATATTTCAATGTATTTCCAACGTATCATGCTGTATTTTCATGTATTTTATTGTATTCATTATCTTTTTTTCATTGTAATTCAATGTATCTCGTTATATTCCATGTATTTCATTGTATTCACTGTCTTTTTTTCCATTGTATTTCAATGTATCCGGCTATATTCTATGTATTTCATTGTATTAATTGTCTCGCTATATGCCATGAATGTATTCATATGTTTTTTTCTAATTAATATAATTTATGTATTCAGATGTATTATATAATTTCTCCGAAGATTGCTATGTTTTTGGGGTATTTTTCGGTTGAGAATCTTTTTTATAACTGGAAATACAAATTTTGTGTATTATAATTGAGTTTTTGAGTTATATTAGGAGTCTATTATGTTAATTGATTCACTTTCCGTTTAAAAACAGTATAATCCCATGTTTCACGCCGTGAATACAGTCGAATACATTCGAATACAATAATATGTCCAGCTGTAATCCCATGTTTCATGCCATGAATACAGTCGAATAGACTCGAATACAACAACTGATTAGCTGGACTTCCCTGATTCACGCCTATTTTTGCTATTGTATTCATGAATACAGTAGCTTAAATACATCTAATACATCTTATAACAACAGAAAAAGTATCTACAATCCGTAATATAGCAAATGGTATCTATAGATAGCTATTACACTAAAAGAAGTGCTTTATGAAAATTTCTCTTCCTTTTTCTTAATATTTCTCATTGCTTATCCAGATATGTGCAAACTTCATACCCAATTGAGGGGGAAGTGCACGGTTAGCCACTAATAACATATGTATTTACTTTTAAGCGATTGTTTAAAATGTCTTTAGTCTTTAGCCACTACTTAATAAACTTTAATTGCCCGGACGAAAATACCCTTCTGCTCATGTCCTTAACTTTTGAACTTAACTTTAGGACTTCAGGACTACATGTCCTTAACTTTTGAACTTAACTTCAGAACTTCAGGACTACATGTCATTAACTTTTGAACTTGTAACTGTAAGTTTAGGACCAAGTGTCCTTAACTTTTGAGCTTGTTAGTCTAATAGCATGTTTGGCCAAGCTTTTTTTGGGCCAAAAGTGCTTTTTTTTGCCAAAAGCACTTTTGGCCAAAAATTGAGGCGTTTGGCCAAGCTTCAGGAAGGAAAAAAAGTGCTTTTGAGGAGAAGCAAATGCAGTTTTGGAGAAGCAGAAAAAAGTAGCTTCTCTCCAAAAGCACTTTTCTGAGAAGCACTTTTGAAAAAAATACATTTAGAAGCAGTTTTCAAAAGCTTGGCCAAACACTAATTACTGCTCAAAAGTGTTTTTCAAATTAATTATTCAAACACAAACTGCTTCTCACCAAAAGCACTTTTTTAAAAAGTACTTTTGAGAAAAACACTTCTCAAAATAAGCTGATTTTAGAAGCTTGGCCAAACGGGCTATAAGTTCAGGACCTATTGTCCTTAACTTTTGGGCTTCTTAGCCTAAGTTCAGGACTTATTGTCCTTAACTTTTGAGCTTGTTAGTCTAAGTTCAAGACTTCAGGACCTATTGTCCTTAACTTTTGAACTTGTAACTGTAAGTTCAAGACCTATTGTCCTTAACTTTTGGGTTTCTTAGCCTAAGTTCAGGACCTATTGTCCTTAACTTTTGAACTTGTAACTGTAAGTTCAAGACCTATTGTCCTTAACTTTTAAGCTTGTTAGTCGAAGTTCAGGACCAAGTGTCCTTAACTTTTTGAACTTGTAATTCTAAGTTCAGGACCAAGTGTCCACGCCGCCACCAAACCACTTTAAAAAGTGACTACATGTGCTTCTACGTCACTTGTTCCACGCCGCCACCAAACCAAAAGGCATGATAATTGTTCTTTCAATAGATTCAGATGCTATCTTGTGGGTCAGAATGATGTATTACATTTGATAAAGCAGTCAGCTTGAATGGAAAAGAATGCAAATTTCTGAGTTAATCTAAGTCTCGCGAAGAAACACTAAAGAAGAAAATCCTTCCCGCACAGTTCTTCTCCCTAACATGAAAGAGATAGAAGAAAGGGTAGCACGGTCTTTTCATATTAATTTTAATAGACTAGTGGCTACTATTGCTAAGCATTAAAAATGCTGGATAAAAAGTAAATATCACTTTAAAAAGTGGCTACCCCACACAATTTTTACCCCAATTGAATAAGCAATTCAGTATAGCTGAAGATAGCCCAATAGCCTTTTGGAGAAGGAAGTTTTACATTCCTATGCCACAAAGGAAACCTTATTACCCTCAATGTTTAAGGTTTGACTTAATTACACTTAGTATACCAAATTACCAATTCTATACCATAGTGTATTTTAAGGGTACAATTAATGCAGCGTATATCCCTCCTTAATTCAAGGTACCGTATATCCCACCCCTCCCACGTTTCTCTCTCCCAAATCCTCACCCTCACCCAACAATGAATCGTCATTTTAGTAGAAGTGATAGACGAGGGACAAAAAGTGGTGCATCTACTTCTCAAAAACAAATTGATGAAAGAGAGTGCTTTCTACTAGTCAAGCAAAAGATAATAAGTTTCTTCTACCATCCAGTAACATTTCTATTCACCCACCAGTAAAAGAAACAGATTGCCCCACCCATCAACACTACAATACTCATCATCGCTTTCAGAAAGATGGCCCAACCATCAACTCCAGGACCCAAAGAGCTTCTCAGGCTAGAAAAGTACTTCACTGTGCGACCTGAGAAAATCAGAGCAACATTTGCACCAAGTCCAAACAAAGGATAGAATCTCTTAGCCTCGTCAACAGTCGTAATCTGCAAAAGGAATCACCCAAAACACTTAAATAACAGTGATTTCCCCCATAACACGTTTATGTAGCTTGATTGGTATTTTCGACATAATTGCATTTTTTGCATAAGATTTTGTAGAAGTTTTAGTCGTTTTTATTTGTGAAAACAGAAAACAATACATCTACAATCAGAATACAAATAATCTACAATTCATCTACAAAATATCTACAAACTGGGTTTATTGAATTTTAATATCCCAATTCCCATTCGATTGTAGTTTAATTGGGATTTTCGACATAATTGCGTTTTTGCAGAAGATTTGTAGAAGTTTTAGTCGTTTTTGATTTGTGAAAACAGAAAACAAAGCATCTACAATTAGAATACAAATAATCTACAATTTATCTACAAAATATCTACAAACTGGGTACATTGAATTTTTATATCCCAATTCCCATTCAATTGTAGCATAATTGAGATTTTTGACATAATTGCGTTTTTTCAGAAGATTTATAGAAGTTTTAGCCGTTTTTTATTTGTGAAAACAGAAAATAAAGCATCTACAATCAGAATACAAATAATCTACAATTTATCTACAATTTATCTACAATTTCTGCAATANAATAATACACGGACATACTAATGGATTGGGGCCTTCTCTTATTAGTAGAATACTTAATAGTGTCTCTCAAATTTCTCAAGGTCACTAAGCAAATAGATTGCGGGTCCCTTGACAAATGCTTAAGTTAAATGTTTAGACTCCGGGATAGGTCGTTTAGCGAATTTCACGACCTTCCCCAAAAACAATAAAACGTGTAGTGGCTTTAGGTGCGTACTTTAATAATATCACTTTCCTGAATTCGGGTGCACATTTATGTGACCCAAATCCAAATCTCAACGTAGTCAAAGTGTGTTAACAATCACGGGTGCACTGGTGCGACGTGGTTCGAGATGCATTTTCACAGCGTTGCAATTCTTAAAAATAAAAATGAATGCGGTTTACTAGTAAAAGCACATGGGACATAACATGTTTTGAAATCAGATAAAATCAAATGCAACAGTTGAGCGACCGTGCTAGAACCACGGAACCCGGGAATGCCTAACACCTTCTCCCGGGTTAACAGAATTTCTTACCTGGATTTCTGGCTCGCGGACTGATAACAGAGTCATAATCTCCTCGGGTCGGGATCTAACCGGTGACTTGGGACACCACTAATTTCCTAAGTGGCGACTCTAAAAATTTAATAATAAATCCCGTTCCGATTGTCACTTCAAGTTGGAAATAACTCCCTTTATTATATGGTACTATAAAAGGAGGTGTGACAATGACAAATCCTGGTTCTTTCACAATGTTACATAAATCAGAGGACGGGCGCTTCATGTATGTTTTTGTCGCACTAAATGCATCAATCATAGGATGGAAATACTGTTACCCTATTGTAGTGGTTGATGGGACATTCCTCAAATCATCACACAGAGGAACAATGTTAACAGCTAGCGCACAAGATGCGGCAGGTGAATATGTTGCAGACTCGTACAATAATTATATATGGTATAGATAGTTCTTATCTGTGTATAACAAAAATAACATGTGGATGCTTTCTTATTTGCTTAACCAGGTAAAATTTTTCCACTAGCATACGCTGTTGTAGATTCTGAAAATGATGCTTCCTGGGAATGGTTTTTTGAAATGTTTAGACAGGCTTTTGGGGAAAGGGAAAGGATGTGCATCGTATCGGATCGTCATGCAAGCATATTGAGGGGTGCTTCGATTGTGTATCCAGAGGTATCTCACTGTGTATGCATCTTTCATCTTTGGAATAACATAAAGAAGCAGTTTAAGAAGAACCATGACCGGCTGAGGGAAGTATTTTTTGCAATGGCCAGAGCATACAAAATTGAAGATTTTAATCGCCTCATGCAAGATATGGACAGCATTGATAAGAGGGTAAGGGGTTACCTATTCCAAGTTGGTTATGAAAAGTGGTCTATAGTGCATTCCACTGTTAATAGATCCATGGTGATGACTTCAAATATTGCCGAGTCACTCAATGCAAGGAACAGAGAGGCAAGAGAGCTACCAATCATGAGTTTGCTAGATTACATGATGAATTTGGTTATGGAATGGAATAATACAAATAGAATGACTGCAATGAGTACATTTATTGGCGTAGGAAAAAAATATCATGAAGTACTGAAGGAAAATAGCTATTTGTCACAGAAGATGACGGTAAATATTCTTTTATCATGTCTTACTTCATATGCCGGAGCAACATACTTTGACAAAAATGCATTAATACTTGTCATATCCCTGTTTTAGTTTTACTAATGATATCTATTTAAATTTAGGGAAAATTTTAATGACTAAAACGAAATGCAGAATTCAGAAAATTGACAATCTAAAAATAATTAAATAAGGGAAAAAGGGGTCCTAGGTTTGTAAAAATACATGGATCATCCACGCAACACCCGGTAACCAATTGTACGCGTGGTGTTATCGCATGATCATCATCTCCAAGTCTACCCTTTCCCACCCCGTTAAGGTATTAAAGCGCGGAATAGTATCGTTACTTATTGCATTCTATTACCCGTCCCGATCCTATCAGTTCCGGAGGCATTCGAACTACTAGTCCTAAAGGGAAGGAATTGGGGCTTTTCAGAAGTTCAAGAAAGGATAAAAATCTAGGCGACAATCAAAACATATAGTCAAATAGGGGGAGACAAACAGCAATTACGGCTCAGACATGCCTCCTCACTTAAATGCAAATACATAGCATGACTTCAGATACTGGTTAGGTCTTTAATTAAACTTAATAAAGGTTGGGGGGGATGTTGGTGACCATGCTGAATCTGGGGACTTCGTGCCTCATTTTCTGCAAAACAAAAGGTTAGACCCTTTTCCCCCACCGGACTCGACTATTTAATGTCAATAATTAGCATAACAAAGCATTTAGTTCTCCAAATAAATGCATAGAACGTGGTAGCGTCCGTTTGGGTTTCAAGGAAACCTAGTGGACTTTTGACAAGGCTATCTTAAAGAGTCATTATGCGGACAACATAACTGACTCGGCTAAGTTTGACCATGATGCATGCACAATTTTAAAGAGAAATGGTTTCTATGGGGTATTAGACAAGGTACCTTGAGCGGACAACTCAAGAGGGAAAGGCGCGGAACCGTCGACTACACCGTTGATCGACTAGTTTTACCGCAAATATGCCTTTGCCAAATTTAGGGGGTGATAATATCGGAAGAGCGCAACCACTCATTATAAGCGTTGCTATGGTCTTTTGTTTGGCACGAGTGGAATATGATGTCGAAAAAATACAATACAATAATTAACAAATTGTCATGTACTTTCACGTTCATAAAATAATGGTTACAATAATTGCAGTTTTTCAACAGTATTGAAGTAAAGCGATAAAAGAAAGCATTAAAGAAAAGAAACAAAGAACCAAGTTAGTTTTGCAATAGAAGAAAGAATAAATACTTAAAAACAAGTAAAGACATGTAAAGAAGCATGAAGTCACAAATAGCATGAAATGGTAAAAGCCTTAAAGAAGTCCCAGCAGAGTCGCCATGCTGTCGAAGCCCCCTTTTTCTTTAAAAGGCGAAATCGGGTTTACCACATTTGGGAGGACAACTCTCTTCCCTTTTGGAAATTGGGTTTTGGAGTTTGAAGAGTCGCTACCTAATGATTAAGTGCATTAGGACACTAAGAAGGGTTGAGTTGAATAACCAGAGTTTGGGTAAGGGCTAAAAATTATCTCGAGGGGAAGGTGTTAGGCACCCCTCAAGATCCACTAGTGTGGTTCCCGACCATGCTACAATTGTGACTTTAAAGCAAATAAGCATACAAGTCAATTTCACATAAAGACTGCAAGTGGGTATGTATAACGGTTACTAAGCATGTTGAAATTTGAATAGGTGACTTCCTAGTTATTGGCAAGAATGTCTAAATGCAAAAAAATAGGATCAAGTAATGAATACAAATTATCAAATAAGGAAGGGAATGAGCAGAAAATTTTAGAGGAAAGGACAGTGCGAAAATTAAAGGGGGAATTTTAATGACTAAAACGAAATGCAGAATTCTGAAAATTGACAATCTAAAAATAATTAAATAAGGGAAAAAGGGGTCCTAGGTTTGTAAAAATACATGGATCATCCACGCAACACCCGGTAACCAATCGTACGCGTGGTGTTATCGCGTGATCATCATCTCCATGTCTACCATTTCCTACCCCGTTAAGGTATTAAAGCGCGGAATAATATCGTTACTTATTGCATGCTATTACCCGTNCCCCCCCCCCCCCCCCCTTCCCCTAAATCTCTAAAAATTCACACAAACACAAAGGAACTAATGTGTTTTTTTACTTTTTTACGCAAAAATAACGTTGAAATTTATGCTCTATAACTAAAAAGAAAATACTCTTTAATTTTTATTGGTTGAAAAAGAAAGTATTCTAATTTCTACATCATAAAAATTAAGTACTCATTTTATTGAAATAAAAGAAAATACTTTTTCTACATCATGAAAAATACTCATTTTGTAGAAATGAAAAAAAACACGTTTTTTGTTGAAATGAAAAATACTTTCTCTAAGAAAGTATTTTTTTTGTTAATATTGAAAAATACTCATTTGTTGAAATGAAAAAAAAAATCTATCTATAACATGAAAAGAAAGTACTATTAATAATCTTTTTATTTAGGGTGGGGTGGCCGGGTGGAGGGGGGTTTGGTAGGTGGGTTGGGGTTGTGTGGGGTGGGGGTTTGGGTGGGTGGGGGTGGGGTGGTGGAGTGGGTTGGTGGAGTTTGATGGGGATGGAAAATAGGGTGGGGAAGGTTAAGAAGGAGTTTTGGAAAATATTTTTCCTTCTCTTAATACGGAAAACATTTTCCTTCCAATTGGAGGAAAATGAATTCATGAGGAAAATATTTTTCAAAACATTTAGGCCAACCAAACATGAAAAAATTGGAAAACATTTCGGAAAATGTTTTCCTCCATACCAAACACACCCTTAATTGTTTATGTCGTCATACCAAATTGAGACTTATCAACTTCTTTAGGTTTTTCTAATTAATGTGCAAACAATCTCTACAATTAGTTTTAAGAATATTTTTCTGGTACAAAAAAAAACATAACTCTTGAGTTATACTCATTTATTTATAAAAAACAAAACCAATCAATCAAAATCAATCTATATGGAATTAAATCAGTAGATGGAACATGCTTTTCAACAGTACCATATGAATTGAAAATATCGTTTCATTGACGTGTAGAAATTATAAATTAAGTCCTAGTCTGTGGACACATAGGAATTACATGCATGGCCATGGCCATGATCAGCTTCAAATATAGGAGTATATAGTTTTCCCAACTTATAAATACACAAATCTTTCCTTTTTTAATACAAACATTTTCTTGAATTATAGACTCCCTATAAATTGAAAATTTGCAGATGTAACGAAATGAAATTTATATTTTGGCTAACATAAGCATAGCAACAACCTTTGTCACAATACTTGCATGCGCCAATTATGTACCAAAACCACGATTTAGTTATACTTGTGGATTGTGTCTAAATACCTAACCCCTTACACACCTTCACATTCTTTCTTTAAGGGTGGCCGTGGATGAGGTCAGAGACGGAGCCAAGATTTAAAGTTTATGGGTTTAGGGCTCTAATTCTTTCTAAGTTATTCAGGATTCGATTGAATCTATAGCTGACACACTAACTCCGCCCCTGAATGAGGCAATGTCAAAGTTACATGGTACGAAGAGAGTTCAATAGAATCCATTTTATCTGAGAGTCATACTATGCAAATATTAGGATAAAAGAAAATATATTGAATCTCAAGTGTGTCTTTTTTTTTTTTCCAATTTTTCAAGTTAGAATTTTTTGGGCTGCCACGGGTGGGGAGGAAGGTGGAAAGTAGGGTTTCGTTGAACAGCAGAAATACAAGAAGAAGAAAAAAAATTAAGCGCAACAAAAGGAAGAGAGAAATGCAAAGAAATGATGAAATTAAAGTTTAGCTTTGTTGAATGAAGTTGGAGAAGCATGAAGCAAGAACACCTTTTTCAAGACTTTGATGAGAACCACTAAGCTTGGCCTTTTACTGGCTCTGGATAGACTCAAAGCTTGACCCTTCTTTGTATCGTTCTCACAACACCTTGTCATTATTTGGTTTGATTCTTCATTGAAATTCTCCCATAACATATCCATTTTCTCCTCTTCTTCTTCTTCTTCTTCTTCTTCTACTTCCTCTTCATGATTATGACTTTGTTCATCTTCAATCATTCTCTTCATTGCAGCAGCACCTTCTATGTATGAGAAACTCTTTCTTTGGTTAATATAGTTGGACTTGTTGGATATTAATGGAGACATGTCAAATTTTTCTTCATGATCAACTTCTTTCTTTGTAGATGCAATAATATGATCATTTCTAGGGTTTTTTTCGAGGGGACCGGAGGCAATGGATGTTGTCCTCCATAAAGGTGGTGATTCAATGAAACATGGTGGTGTATTGGTGATTGTTGGAAAGCTAAAATCATCTTGAGGAGCCATGGTTTGTCTAGCTATGGTGTTTGTAAATAAGACGACTATGAAAAAAGTATTATTTGGGTGGTTTTGTTTTGGTGTGGAATGTTTTGGGGTTAGTTTGTATTTTGGGGAAAAGTTTTAGTTCAACTACTTCAATCTTGTACTTAATATTTTCTTTTATATGAAGAATATAGGAGTGTACACGGGTCCCATTTTTTACAACTGTGATTGTATAATATTTCGATGAATTATTTATTTCTATATCAAGTATTAGGGATATATATTGTAGGGCTCAAAAATATTAAAGTTTGGTCATTACTTGAGACAGGTGATTATCCCCGTAATATTGAATCAATTAATTTCTTGAGAGTATGGATTAGTACAATTCCAACACGAAAACTGTGATTGACATAATCTTGTCGATTTCTTGTTTCAGGTGATGATTTTCAGTCTCTTAGGTGAATAGAAATTATTAAGTCTTCTTATTTTTTAATAATATATTGTATACAATTATGATAAATAGAAAAACAAAACAAAAAATGACCCAAAAAAAAAGGCACTATCTACTCTTTGGTCATCTCTTTAGCTCTCATCCGTGCTTTTGAACCTAAAACACCAATAGTACCTCTGGGATGAAGAATTAGTTGGTATCTGAAACAGTATCTTTGTGGATATGGTAATCTATGCATGAAAAATTGTATATGACAAATTAGTCTAATATTCTAATATTTACATTTCTCTTAGATACTGGGTAATGGAGTACTATTTTTTCATTATATTAGTAAATTCTATATATTCTTTGAATTGTTTATTTTTATCTCATTTTATATTTTGTGTATTTCAGTTTTCTTTTTGTCAATTCCAAATGTCTAATTAAATACACACCATACATATCAAGCGTTTACTTCTATCATTGTAAATAGAAGCATACATGTTAGATTAGTTAGGATTTTTGTTTTTTAAACCAATAATAGTACAAGTGTTTTTTAATTGAGTTCTAGAAAATGTTGGGACCTCAAAACTAAAGAAGAATTAACCTAAATAGCTGTCCATCCACCCACTTAAACAAAAAATAGCTCACGGATCACAGAAGTATAATATATGTATAATCAATATATAATATGTGTATAATTTATGTATAGCGATTAAGAAAATTAAACATTATATTTGGCCGGCTATTTGTATCTAAACCGTACATAGGGGAAAGGGTGAGAAAATTGGATCTAATATCTCGAGTATGTCCCTTATGAATGTGTTTTATTCTATAAGTTGAATATGTAAGCATTAAGGAAAAATTCTGGGTCCTACAATTTTCCTGTGGCTGTGACAAATGGAAAAATTATTATTTTCTGAAGGACCAAAAAGAGCTATAATGAGATTGTTGGGTTTTTAAGGTATTTAATTAATATATTAAATACTTAAAAGAGGTGAATGGGAAATGGAGGGAAATGAAATTTTTGAGTGAAATTTTAAGTTCCCCCTCCCTTGGCAAATGGGCATTGTCCCATATTGGAAGAGGAAGAGGTTTTTTATGGGTATATAAGCAATTGCTCTTCTTCTAGCTCTTAAAGAGTTGAGAAGAAGGCAAGCCTCGCGCCGTCGTCGTCGTCGCTCGCTCGGCTCGGCTTCGGCTTCGGCTTCGAATTGATTAACTTTTTGGACCAAATTTATTTGTTAATAGTAAAATATTAACAGAAATGTTATCCGTTTTTCTGTTTTGGTAACAGAAAAGTAACTATCCGTTTTTCTGTTCTGGGAGCGTTATGTATAACGGTAAGTCTCGCCATATACGACGAAGACATAAAACCGTTAGACAATTACTCTCTAGAGGAATTATCACGATTGACTATGTAAAGTCAAGTGATAATGTGTCGGATCCACTTACAAAAGGCCTAACTAGAGAGGTAGTTGAGAAGTCATCAAAGGGAATGGGACTGTGGCCGAGAACAAGTCATAGTGGCGGTAACTCTACCTAGAAGACTGGAGATCCCAAGATCTAGGTTCAAGGAGATCAAACAAAGTCATTTATGACGGTTCAACATTGTCAACTAAACTTTTGGTCCATTCTCGTGATGAGACAATGTTCAGTACCAAGGATAAAGCATTAAGGCTTTTTAATGATTTCTAAATTTGATACAGGGTATATCAAATAGTGTATCTACGGGATGACACGTTTAGGAATCACCTATGTAAGTGTGAAGTGTTAGCCGCTTCAAGGAGAACACAGAAAGGCCAGTTCTCTACGCACTTATGAAACCAGACGGTGTTCATGGCTGAAACGAACACAACAATGAGAACCAAAGACGGTTAAGGGTTGGTTGTGTGACTTGTGGTTGTCTAGGTATACACTAAAGTTCGACGGTTCAAAGATATCAAATCTACCGATTGATCGAGTATATCCGACATAAGTTCACTACGGAAAGTTCAAAGGGAAACCTACTTATCCAGATGCAATTAATCCTTACTTGTGAATCACAGAGTTTTTCATGCATACTTCCGTGATATAGTCATTCCCCATTCATGTGGGGGATTGTTGGGTTTTTAAGGTATTTAATTAATATATTAAATACTTAAAAGAGGGTGAATGGGAAATGGAGGGAAATGAAATTTTTGAGTGAAATTTTAAGTTCCCCCTCCCTTGGCAAATGGGCATTGTCCCATATTGGAAGAGGAAGAGGTTTTTTATGGGTATATAAGCAATTGCTCTTCTTCTAGCTCTTAAAGAGTTGAGAAGAAGGCAAGCCTCGCGCCGTCGTCGTCGTCGCTCGCTCGGCTCGGCTTCGGCTTCGGCTACGGCTACGGCTTCGGCTTCGGCTTCGGCTTCGGATTCGGATTCGGATTTGGATTTGGATTTGGTCAAATGATCGATTGATTGATTAACTTTTTGGACCAAATTTATTTGTTAATAGTAAAATATTAACAGAAATGTTATTAAATATTTGTTTTAATAACAAAATATTAATATTAAATATTAATATCAAATCCAATCCGTTTTTCTGTTTTGGTAACAGAAAAGTAACTACCCTCTTCAATTTTCCCTCTTTATTTTCCCTCTTTATTATTGAGTAAATGGCCATTTATGTAATGGCATTTATGTTGTGGGCGTTTTGCATAAACAGCCATTCTGAAGAGACCCAACTTTGGCTATAAATACAACAATATTCTGCTCAGAATTTTAACTACTTTTTTCTGAGTTTCCTCTCCTTCTTCTGCATACTTTTAGCATCAAAACTAAGCAAAAAGTAAGTGTGATTTGCTACCGAACTTTGTGTTCGCTGAAACACTGGGGTTTGAAGTACCACTACACCAGTGTGTAATTCGTTCTATCTTGGGAGGAAATAATCCATAACCTTGGGTACTAGGAGGGGATTAAATTCCTTAAGGAAACACTGTGAATTCAGTGGGCTCGAATTGGTTTATGTCATTTCTGTTTATATTCATTACTGTTTATATTCATTTATATTTCCAGAATTTATTTTACAAATACAGTGTAATAACAGAGTTGATGGTGGTCTTTGCTGCTTGCTGAGCAACTAGTGACGAAGATGACGCTGGAGGATGTAGCAGAGAGGTCGATCGAAGTTTTTTGGTTGCCTTGCTGGTGGCTGAACAGCTGATAGTGATGAGTGATGACTGATCAAGTGGTGATGGAGAGATAATTATGAAAATGAGGAGGATGTTGGAGAAGATGCCGAGGAGAGGAAAGGGGGAGTTTTCTTGTTTTTTTTTTTTTTTGTTTTTGTTTTTGACGTGTATCATTTTTGCGTAGCACGCGTCATACACTACCTGATATAAAGTGATCTTAATTCATGTAATAGGGTATTAGTAACAAATGTTTCACGTATTTAAGGCATGTAAATGATAATATGGAAAGGGCATAGTACGTATTAAGCCTTAACAAAGGAATCCTTAAAGCACATCATAAATTAAAGAAACTATGTTGTCTGTCTCTTTTTTGTATGAGTCATAAATAGTTATACTTGCTAAATAAAATCATTTACTTACTCAAAAAAACAAAGAAACTATATATGTTGCATGCAACAAACAACAATAAAACCAACAACCGAGACATATGAAAAAGTACCCTATTTATTTTGTTGGCAATGAAGAATAATCTTTGCAATATATAAGCATGGACGACGGAGGTTGCATAAATATTGTTGCAATCAATCGCAGATTACAATATTACATATTCGATTAACATATAAATAAATATTCAAGTATATATTTCATATTTGTTCTAATAATAGATTCAACTGAATCTAACATTTTTAGCATGCGACTCTACGTAAAAATATAGTAATAAATTTATATAAATAAAATTAAATATACATTTCATAACTCAATTGAATGCATCACTTATTGCAAGGTGATATGTACCCTTGGCAAGAATCCTTGATTAGCAAGTTTTAGAAAAAAAAATTCATGTCGAAAGTAGTAGTAGGTGACAAAAAGATATCTAATAATGTTAATTAATTATTTATTCTTATATACAAAACGTTTAACGTTTCTTGAGGAAGTGAGAAAGGGGATGTAGCTTGGCGGGGTGATCAAGTCTTGAAAACCCTAGATTTAACATAAGGCGGCAAACGGAAAAAGAAAATTTTCTAAAGTGCCCATATTGACCCCACCCTAGAAATAACAAAAAACATTTTAATGGCGGGTCGACTGTGGGATAAACATTTTCGTAATCAAGGGTAACTTAGTCATTTCGACAATCCCTCGCGCCTAGGGTTTTCGTAAGCCCTCTTATAAACCCCACATTTTATATCTCCTGAGATCAGCCACTAGTCTATTTCAGTGTCGGTCTCTCTATATCTTTCCCGCAGTCTCTCTTCCTATCTCTTCAAGTCGGTTTACTAAACCCCTTAATTTCTACTAATTTCCTGCTAAAACTTTCAGTTTTTGAGTTCTTGAGCGGGTCTAATTAGTTGTTCTTCTAGTTGAAATCAAGAATCAAGTTTGATTCAGCTGATTTATCTACCATTTCTTGTTCTGGGTTTTGCTTAATTAGTTTTTGGTAT